CACACAAATATAAAATTTACCTTGCCTTTATTATTTTTACAAGTCAAAGCAGTGAACGTACCTAATACTCCTCCCTCCTATTTTTCTGTAACAACCCAATGAGGTGAGAAGGTCCTTTCTGATTGTTCCATTCTATTATTCTTGCCCCATTTCTCACCTTTGTGCTATCACGTGGTTGGTGTTATGATCGATAGAATACAATCGTTGTACATGGATCTTTTAAGTTAGAGAAATAACCAAAGGGGAGGGGAAAAAAGCCTAAATAATCTGACATATTTGGGTTACCATCTACCATTGTAGTCCAGGCACTGCTGGACTGCATCTAAGGTGAGCTTTGGCAGAAGGCCCCAAAGAGACGCTTTGGAATGGCAGCCTAGTAAGAAAGGCAGAGCTGAGGACGACAGAGACGGAGGAGCCATCCAGGAAGCGTCACCGCGTTGGGCAGACCAAGTCTGTGCAAGACACAGCAAAGCCCAGGAAGGCAGCAAAGGACTGCAGCTCAAGAGAGGCAAACAAACTTTGCATTCTGAAGTTGTGGCACACTTATGGGCAAGAGTTGGGCTGAAGAAAGATCAGAAAAAAGCAGCAGGGTTTTTGTAATGACAAGACAAAATCTGGCAACAGACTGAACCTGAGAGGGCAAAAGAGGACTCAAAAAGTTAATGTCACACCTGAGCAGCAAAGTGTGTGGCTGATGGGTAAGGAGAAGGAAAGGTGTATCTGTGGGACTCATTTAACACTCTGTGCAAGGGACTCCAATCTGTTTACAATGACAATACGATGAATGAAGATTACACTTAGGAGAAGTGATATTACGCAGCGATTCCCAGCACCAATAGCTGTGCCCAAAATTAGCCCTCAAAGGCTCTGCTAAAGACTGGAGACCTCCACGTCTCGGGGGGGGTGGGGGAGGGGCAGGCTGTTCTAAAGGAGGGTAGGCCCTGAGGAAGCCTCTGCTGGGGTCCTGGAAATAAGGGGGACTTTCAACCGGAGCAGACAGACCCCACCTGGGAAAGTCGATCTGCTGCATACCACCCAGGGCTTTCTGCAGAATCCTGCACCTTCATCTGTACTCAGAATACGCCACTAGACAATATGCCACTTAGCTGCCGGGAGCCTGGGATGGCAGCCAATCTGCGTCAGCCTGATGCATCTACTTGACCGCCTGGCTAATGGAATTCCCAGCTGTGGGTCCAGCCAGTTATCCTGGCGGAGCTTTTCCTCAAAATGAGGCCACGGATGCTCTGATCGAGACGGTTCTGGGGCTCCTGCAAGCAGCAATGCTTCAGAGTTGTAGTAAAGAGCTCACCCCTTTTCCCACTGACAACTCTCATGATGTAAAAGCAGGGGCCTTCTTGAGCCCCCTTCACCCCAGCTCTGGCCATTCAACAAAATCTGCCCACGAGGAGAGGTCCTGCCAGGCTCCTTGGCTGCTCTAGGGACCCACCTGGCCCTCAGCTGCAGGGCTGTTTCCATGGCTGGTGGGACCGGCTGAGGAGGAGCACAGAACCCCTGGCTCAAAAGGAAGGGGGCAGGCAAGCCAGGGAGCTGTCAGCAAGCCTTGGAAAAGCAATTCAAAGGGATTAAGATTCACTAGAAAGCAGGTGAAGGGCCCTGGGAAGGGGGGAGGGACTTCCTGCTGCTCCCCCCCCCAAGGAGTGGGGTGGTTTTTAAAATGAGCCAAAGCCAATGAACAGGAACCTCCACGCAGAACACTTGGTGAAGGCTTAAAAACAGACAGGCAACACCTGCCGCCTGTAATAAGGGCCCCTCTGCTGCCCAAAAGCACCTGGCCCTCTGGCCTCCCCCCCCTCCCGGTCCTTAAAGGAGTCCCAGGAAGAGGTGGGGACCACCAAGGGGCAAACCCAAACGGGACAGAGGGAAGGCAGCAGCAGGGCAGCCTGGTAAACACAGCCAGGAAACCTGCTAGGAGCTGCACCAGGAAACCCTGGGCCTGAGGGCGGGTCTGGCGGGGGGAGGCTCCCCTTTCAAAACTTGGGAAGTTCCTGGAGGAGCTGGCTGGACTTGGGAGGAGAAAAGTGGGCCCGAGGAGGGCAAGAGTTAGACCTTGACAGCGGAGGGGGGGAGAGAGGGAAAGGAAGAAAGATGGAAATGGATGGATGGAAGAAAGGAAGGAAGGGCGTCAATCAACAGGGAACTGAAGAGGTAGAGCTACTAGAAGATAAAATCAGGAGTCAATATATGGGCCATCTACCTGGGCACACAGGTTATTTACAGGCTGCAAACAAATGTGGCATTTCTCAGAGGGGGGGAGGATTAGACAGCCCCTTTCCTGGAAGGGAGCTGAATTGCCAGGCAGCCCTGATCCACCCACCTACCCAACGCAGAGGAGACACAACGCAGAGGCATTGCCTGAAATGGTTCCGTTGATCCTTTGCCAAAAGCTTTCTCTCTCTCTCTCTCTCTCGTTACTTGGATTCTGAGCTTTCTGGTATAAAATGTTTGTAACAAACAGATACATCATTAGGAATAAACATGTTTTTGTTTTTTCTCTCAAGGTAGCACAACTACTTTCATCCAGTCTCATTCTCTAAATGCCAACTTGATTTGGGCTACCTGGCAAATAAATCCCGGTAACCAAATTGCTGTGCTTTGAACCAGGGGGAGGCCCTAAACTTCTAGCTCTCCAAGGCAACTCCCAGGTACCCACTGCCCTGAGGTGTGTTTGACCGCAACAGCCTCTCTCCATCACCGGGTGGCCTCTTGTTTTCCTCCTCCTACCAGATTCAGCACCTGGCTCCCTGCCCTGCCAGAGCCTCAGGGGTTACCCAGGCCCTTTGCTCCTCCTCTCCAGGGTGCCTGCCCAGGGGCCATCGCTGTGTCTGCGGAAGGTGTGAGAGTTTATTCACATTTACTGGCAGTCTCAGCAAAAGCAGCTGGCATCAGTAAGTGAAGTATTTTTTGCTGCCTACATTTTATCAGCAAAGAAAGCCTGAATGTTCCAAATAAAATACTCTAATAGGCTCCAAGAACCTGGTCGAAAAAAACCCTTCTCCTTATTCTCCACTGGGCAGAAGGCCAAAAATTCTGCAAGAGAATGAAGGCCACGAGCAGCAACCAAAGAGAAATCTGCCTGGCAGCTGTGCTAGGTTTCTGCCCTCTGAAAGCGGCATCAGCGGCATCAAAGCGAAAGAAAAGAGCCTCAAACAGGGCTGGCAAAGGGCTGGCTGGGTCCCCAACAAGGCCGGTCCGTCGAACCAGATCAATGTCCAGGAGAACTCAGAGAGACAAAGAAGAGCCAACCTCCTGCACTCAAGATCCAACCTGGCCTTGACACTGGAATGTGTATACACACACACACACACAGCAATGGCCACAAGATTGTTGCGTTTGTTGTTCGACTCTCGCATGTTGCCTCTCAGTGCAGAGGAACAAACTTGCAGAATAAAAGAGTTGCAACGAACCTTGAAGGTCTTCTAGTCCAACCCCCTCCTCAAGCAGGAAACCCTATACCATTCCAGACAAATGGGTCTCTTCCAGTCTCTTCTTCAAAGCCTCCAGTGATGATGAAGCATCCACAACTTCTGAAGGCAAGCGGTTCCACTGGTTGATTGTCCTGTCAGGAAAGTTCTAGGTTGGTTCTAGATTGGTTCTCTCCTTGATTAGTTTCCAACCATTGCTTCTTGTTCTGCCTCCTGGTAATAAGTTGCCCCCCCCTTCTTGGTGGCAGCCCCTCAAATATTGGAACAGTGCTATCATGTCACCACCCCCCACCCGGTTCTTCTTTTCACTAGAGTAGACATACCCAATTCCTGCAAATGTTCTTCATACATTTTAGCCTCCAGCCACCTAATAATCTGTTGATCTTCTTTGCACTCTTTCCAGAGTCTCAACATCTTTTTTTGTATCATGGTGACCAAAACTGGATGCCATATTCCAAGTGTGGTTTTACCAAGGCGTTAAGATATCACGTGATCATTTGTCTGCAATGGTTATAGGGCCGTGATGGCGAACCTATGGCACGCAGAGCCACTTCTGCTGGCATGCGAGAGGTCGCCTGGAAGAGCCTCACTGCACATGCACACGCCGTGTGCCCAACAGCTGATTGTCGGGTATCTGGTGCGCATGTGCGCGGGAGATGTGTGTGCATGCGCACATGCGCAGATACATGGTGTACGGGGATCAAGTATGCATGTGCAGAGATGTGCACAAGGGCGTGAGGGGGCAGCGTGCATTGCCTTCTGGGTGCTGGCACGCAAGCGCACATGCAATTTTTGGCATGGGAGCCCATAAAGGTTAGCCACCACTGGTCTAGGGTCTCCTGCTTGAGCAGGGGGTTGGACTAGAAGACCTCCAAGGTCCCTTCCAGCTCTGTTATTCTGTTATTCAACCCAGATCGACGGCCACCCCCAAGGATGCAAAGTCCCACGGGGGGGGAATGGGAGGATGGCCCTTCTTTCACTGAGGACGGAATGGCCTGGAAGCCGACCCGGCACTGCCAGAGAAGAGGCTGCTTTCCCCTGTCCATCTTGCCGGCCTTGGGCGTGACCGGGTCCCCCTCGCTCGCCTTTCCTGCTAACGAAAAGGCTGGACGCTTTCCTCTCCGCACAGCCCCTCCGGCCGCCACCCTTTCTCCCATCGAGAAACAGCGAGGGACCCTCCAGATGCCCTTCTGGAGACCCAAAGGAGATTCATTACGATGGCACGACTGCCGGGTGGAGAGGAGCGCAGCGGCCTCGGGGCGTGCAGGCCCACCGACCCCACCAGGCTCCCCCCCGGCTCCTGTCAGCAGCCCAGCCGCCTTAACCACCCGGACAACCGCGAGAGGCGGCCAAGACGCCGAAAGCGGCAACCGGGCAGCGGCCCAGACCCGTCACGACCGCCCGGCTCCCTCCTTCCGTCCCCCGTGAAGACGCAGGCGGGGCGGCGGCGGCGGCTTCCCGGGGGAGGCAGTTGGCTAGCGGGTGGGCGACGGGGAGGCCCCGGCAGGCTCCTCACCGCCGCTTCCCTGGACCCTCCGCCCCCCAAGCGGCCCTTCCCTCGCGCCCCCCGGGCCTCCCCTCCACCCCGCCTCGCTCGGGGAGCCGCAGAGGTGCCGAGCCCGCCAAGGCTGCGGCTGCCCATCCAGCGCCGGGCCGGCCTGCCGAGAAGCCGCGCGCGAGGGCCGAGCGGCCGCCGCTCCCCTGGAGCCGATCCGGGCGACTCACCGGCAGCGAAGGGCGAGCTGCTGCCAAGGACGCGCCAGGCCACGTGCCTCTCCGCAGCGGCCCCGCCGAGGCCCGCTCGGCCGACCGGGGAAGCGGAGCTGGGCTCGGCCGCCGCACCTTTGTCTGCCCGGCCCGAGAGGCTCCGCGGCCGCCCGGCTGGCCCGAAACCGCCGCTCATGCCGGGCGGCCCGCCTGGAACGCCAGCAATGCCGCCGGGCCGGTTGTCGAGCGGGGGCGGGGCGCAGGAGGCGGAGGAGGCGCCGTTCCGGCCCCCCAAGGCCGCTCCGCCTGGGCCGGGGCTGCTCCGGAGGGGCTCGCGGGGAGCGGAGGAGGCGGCGGCGGCGGCGGCGCCGAGGGAAGAAGCCCCCTCACTCCAGCTGGGCGAGGCCGCGAGGGGCGGCGCGGCGGCTCCAGGGACGGAGCAACGGCTCCCGCCCGCCTGCCCGGCTCACCTGGCCGCGCGCGCCGGGGCTCCGCCCCGCCCGCGAGCCTCCCCTCCCCGCGGGGCCAGGCCGGCCGGAGGGTGCCCGAGAGGGCTCCGGGGGCCGCCTGGGGCTTCTCCGAGGGCGCCGCGGGACGGGGCGCGACGGCCGCCCGGGGGAGTAGCCGGAGTCACGCGCCACCCCAGCCCGACGGCCGTGGCCGAACTGCGCCGCTGTCCCGAGTGGGCCGAGAAGGGGCCAGTTGGGGTCTCCTCGAAGCCCGCGCGGCCTCCACCCGGCTGCCTTTGACGCTGCAGCCCCGGGGAGGCCCGGCCGCCCCTTCGGGGAACCCCCGCCCCCCACTTGCCACCTGCGCAAACCTCCTTGCCGACCGCTGCCTCGCTCTCCCCCGCCTCCCGAACAAGCTCCGGCCCCCGAATCCGAGGAAGGGATCCGACGTGCTGGTGGCCTGAGTCTGTGCAAAGTGAACTGCACATCACTCAGCCCCAAAGCCTGTGCATAGCTCCATTATGATTCAGTCTGTGGCCTGGTTCACACCACACCCTGAACCCCAAACGACTCGGCTTGGATCCAGTTTAGGCTATTGGGCAACTCGCCCATTTTGACGCAAACACACACACACACTCTCTCTCTCTCTCTCTCTCTCTGACAAACATGGAGCAGCCACAGATAACATGGGCACAAGCATTGGGGAAGCCGTTTCTCTAGCCCAGGAAAAGGAGTCAGTTGGAAAAGGTGACTCTGACTGGCCCTCTGGAGCCCCCCAGCTGGGCTCTTCCCCAGGTCTCTTGTCTCTCCCCTTTCCTTCTAGGGCGGCTGTCCCCTTCCCAAACACTTGTCTCCAGCCCCCTCTGAAGCCCCCTCTGATCCATTTGGCTGGATCCTGCCCTGCCGGCCATTCTTGGCGCAGTTTGGGTTGCTCAGAACACGGCCGGAAGGGCTCTGGAAGGTTCTTCGAAGTTCTGGAGAAAATGCCTGAAATAAGGAGGTCAGAGGGAAATGAGTCCCATCATGGAGC